AAAAAAAAATGGACTAGCAGGTGGCATGGGAGATCCCTCGGATCATGCTCTCTCACTGAGGGAGAGCAGAGCCTCAGTGCTTGTCAGTGTCTTCAGAATGGGATTGGCTTGTTGGGGCAGTGCCTCTGCTTGGCTAGAAGCTTCCACTCTTGTGTTTCTGCTACCCTAAGAGGTGAGATGTGAATAAAACATAAAGGAGAATTCTTAAGGCCTCTGGTAGCCTCTCCAGATGGCTGCTGACCCCTGATTATAATGATCTCCCAAGCTACCGATGAGGGTGGATTGCAAACCAGTCCTTTGTTCAGATGAATAGTGTTAACATAGGCCAGTCCACTTCTTATTAGACATTGGGGCCTACAGATTTTAGGCTGCAGAAACAATTCCAAGTCCACTTGTAGTCAGTTTTTGAATAGCCTCTGAGCTAATGGTTTTACATTTTTAAAAGGTTATTATTTATATTTGTATACTATCTAAGATAGCTTGTATTTAAAATCTATACTGATTTTTTTTTCAGAGAGAATTTATTTAAAAAGGCAATATTGTTTGTTTCTTTTTAATTCAAGTAAGGTTGGTTTATACTGTATTTGTTTTAGTAGTACAGGTTCATACCTCTTCAGATTTGTTACCACACCCACTGCCAAAATACCCATAAACTTCCAACATATCCACTGGACCCCAGCCTTGTGTTCTCATTCTTCCACCCCACCCCAGTTCTGCAGTCAGAATCAAAGGGAATGTTTAGTTTGCAAAACAATATTATTATCATACATAGAAAGTAGCATATTAAAATAAATGCTTGAGTATTAATCTAAAAGTGTTTGCCCACGAGTCATCTGAGTTTCTGTTGTTACTAAGGACTAGGGGTCTAGGCTAGAGGAGCAGAGGGTGAGAGGATAGATTCACCAGACACAGAGTGGGGAGCAGAACAGACAGATCTACTGAATATACTGCTGAGAGGAACGGCAGGTGAGACAGGAGAGATCTGCTGTGTCATATGTGGGTTAACTACTTGGTTGAGACCAAACTCAGGCTACAGGGATAGTGGTGTTGAGACTTAACCCCTAGATTTCCAGGGAAGCCCTAAGACATTTTTTATGCTTAGAGGTTTTTTTTTTTTTTTTTTCACTTAACAGCTATGTGTGTTGATTATTTTATTGTTCCATTTTTGCTTCTGTTTTGCACCTGTATAGATGGGAGTACATGCATTCCCCCTCAGAGAACTCCAAAGAAGCTGAAATCCTCGAAGTTTTGCGCCATCCAAGGGACTGGGTACGTTGAAGCAGCCAGAGTGACCTACCTGGGGCCCAGAGGACACAGAATGTGTGCTCCCTTTCCACTGGTCGCCACTGTGTGGCACTTAGTTACTTGTGCCTTTGAATTCCAGCCTTCACACTGGGGCCTGCTTCTCCTGGCAAGTACTGAGATGTGTTTAAGCACTGTTAAGTTCCCATATGTGGTGAGGTGGCAAGTTGTCAGGGTAAACTGGTTGATATAAAAATCATTTATATTTTTAGAATTGTATAAATTGTTTACAAAATAAGACATTGAGTTTCCAGGTATTAAGTTAAGAACTCTAAAATATTCTTTGCATCAGGAAACATTTTATTTTTTTGCTTCATGTATGTTTTTTAAACTTTTCATTGCTGCCACAAAAGTTTGCAGGGTGGGGGGGTAAATTTTATTTTTATTACTGAATGAGGTTGGAATTTAGTAATTTTAAAAAGCAACTTGATGGTAAAAGTTTTACTTTATAAACTACATTACTAAAGTTTCTTTAATTGTAATCTTTATATATATCTTTCTCCAGAGGTTCTATGTTGTGAAATACTCATTTTTATAATGATGGAACACTTGAAATTTCCTTAATCATAGCTTGTGTTAGGATTCAGTCATTACTTGTGGTTGTTAACTCTAAAGTGACATTGTTGTTTAAATAAGGGATATTTAAGTTGTTTTTCTGATTTTTGTAGGACTATTTGTTATGATAGTCTTTACTCTTTTGATTGTGAAAGCTTGTAACTTTGATTCTGATATTTAAATTTTTCTATTCTAGACATTTCTACTTGGAAATTTAGATTGAGAACAATCCTGGGATTTGTGAATTTAAAAAATGTTTCTCATTTGGGAAATGAGGAAATGAGAAGCATTTTCCTTTTTTAAGCGGATAAATTACTGTGAAAACATTTTATAAACATACTTCTTTGTAAGGTAGTCTAATTAAAATTGACCTTTTTTTAAATTATAGATTCTGCAACTCTGCTCTTAAGACAGAATCAAAGCAGAATTCTTAGTATGACTTCCTTATTTACGTAATAATGTATTTTATTCATAACATATTGAAGTTTAAGTAGTAATATCTTTCTACATATTACTAAATATGATCTTGGGAAATGTTGAATGTATATGACTGTGAATGACTCTTTAGGACTGGAAAATGTGTGAATTCTTGACTTGTCTTACAGCAAACCCATTAATAAATGATATTATGAAGTATGACTAGTTTTGATGTTTCTAGTTTTGATTTTGACTTTTTTAAGAGTTCTTGATATTGGAAAGACAAATATTTCTTGATACTAAAACTGTAGTTCTTCGTTCCTAGGTATTTTATACAAGCAAAATAAAAATTTTAATTTTGTAGTCAAATTTTCATAACAGCTTTATTCACAACAGCTTCAAATTAGAAACAACACAAATACCCATCAACACATGAATGAATACATATGTTAAAATATAGCTATTGAGAAATAAAATAACATGGATGAATATCAGAAGCTTTACGCCTATTGGATGAAGCTGATGCAAAAGAGCACTATGACAAACTAAAGTAATAAAAACTTAAACAGTGACTGCTAGGGGCTGGGGCTGGAGATTGATTATGAAAGGGAACAAAAGAATATTACTATAAACTTCAAAACTCATTGAATTTGCACTTAAAATCATGCAGTTTTATTGTGTATGTGATCTATTCTTCAATAAAGACAAATGAATAAAAAATTAATATAGGCATACAGGAACTGTTGGGGAAGAAACTAATCCTTATCTACCGTTCTGGATATTTCAAACTGAAAATAATTGCCACAAATTAAAAAGAGAAGAGACATTTAATTACGAAACCACGGAGACCCATAGACTATGAACCATGATCTGGTCAGTATAGCAAATTTATTTCAGGGGAGGAATGATACATTTGGGAGGGAAATACAGTACAAGGAAGGGTATCATTTAAAAATTCCTTTAAAAAGGAGTTTTAGGCCCTTTTTGGTGGTACAACGGGTTAGGACACAGCACTGTAAGCTAGCCAACAGCTGCTTCACTGCGAGTTCGATCCCTAGCCCAGAGGTGATCCACATGGCACAGAAGACCTCTCCTGACCTGCCCACTGCTCCCCTCAGCAGTGTACTTTGTCCATCTGCCTGTTTGCTCCCCACTTTGTCTCTGAAGAATCCTCTCACGGCCCCTGCACCTCTGGCCCATAACCAAGTTCTGTATGCATAAATAAATAAGTCTTTAAAAAAATGTTTTACAAGGTGTATTTACATATGAAAACAAGACCTCCTATATCCTGGACTGTGGTACTAGGTTTTTTTCTTACCTCCAGGAAAGAGGAAAGATTTATTTCTGGGCTTTAGGGAAGTAGATCATTGGGTGGGCAAAACTTGATTCTCTGTTTTTCATTTGCCTTCAATTCAAAATCATTGGCCTGTTACTTTGGCACTGGGGCAGCCTATTGTTGGTCCCAAAGGAACAAATGTCCAAGTAAACTTCAATTCCATACTCAAATTAAAAGTGCCTTATCTTATGGATCTGCTAGCCTGTTCAGTTGTGTTTCGGGCCAGTGGGGTGTAGGATAGTCCTCTGTGAGATGTCAGACAGTCCACTTTCCCATGTGGATTATATCAAGTTAATCATGAGCAAATTTGACCAGTCACTTGCCTACCTTGAAAAGTTAAAATTGGGAGCATTACTCAGAATTAGAAGTTTTATTAGAAACCACCTTTCTAAGAAATGTATCTATATGACAGGGAAAATATCTAAGTATAGAGGGTCTGAATTTGTCGTGAGTCGCCTCTTATGGGACCCCCCCCCCTTCTTGTCTTGAAGTCCCATTATATTGGTTTTCTACATAACTCTCTTATTCTTAGTTTGTGTAGAAAGATGTTTCCAATATACATCTCTTAAAAATCCAATTATGGGCCCTCCCTGGTGGCGCAGCGGGTTAAAGCACAGCACTGAGAATCTAAAGCCGCTTCCGCATGAGTTCGATTCCCGCCTGGGAGGTGACCACATGGTGTGGCAGACCTCTCCTGACCCGCCCGCTGCTCCCCTCAGCAGTGTACCTCATGGATCTGCCTGTTCTGCTCCCCACTCTGTCTCTGGTGAATCCTCTCACTGTCCCTGCACCTCTGGCCTGTACCCCAGTTCTGTGTACGTAAATAAATAAATCTTTAAAAAAAAAAATCCAATTATTTGTTGTTTATGTGAAGGAATGATTTGGACTTTTAGCAATGCATTTAGGGGAACATATACATACGTTGATTTTCAGTGGTGAACATCTGAAATTTACATATGTTATAATGAAATGTTACTTCAGTAAAAAATAGCAAATTAAAAAATAGTTTTCAAAGTTGTATTTTTCTGGCCACAAGAATTAAGTATTTGAATCCCACATTTAAAAGTTTGATCCTTCCTCCCAAAGAAACCCAGGTATTTGCTACTTCATAATAAATCTCGTACATTTAAGGCAATGAAGCTTATACGTTTACAAGTGACTTGACAAATCCCTTTATGTTGTCACCTGAAACCAAGTCACAGGTTATACAATGTAAAACCTCACAGACCTGTTCCTACAGTTGTTTAACACACTAGCATATACCAGCATAACAAGATAATTAAACTACATTCCATCTCCGATCACTGTGTTTTGATTCTAGAAGCTAAATGTACTCATTAGTATTAATCCCCTTCCATGTCTCAAAGCATGTTTGAACATAAAATGACATTATCTAACCCATCATTGTTTCAATGTGTTGACACAAATACACTCACATAGAATGTAAACTGGCTTTGTAGTTATTTAGAATTGTAACTAACTGTCATTGGTGCATTTGTTTATGGAACTGTTAGGGAGTTATCAAACTAAAGTTCACAAATGTTGTTGGGCCAGTTGAGCACTCTCGAATTTAAGAGCAAATGTATAATGCATCTGTAAGTAAAACTTCATAGTGATCTGCCTCTGCTAAGGTAGAGTCAAAGTTGATTCCATTTTCTGATTTGGTGAGTAGTCTGAGGCTTTTAGAATATTTCATGCCTGCTCCTTGATATTTTTCTAACCATGAATATAATAGGCAAAATTTTACCCTAATGAATCAATTTCTCAGTTCAAGTTGTTGCTTAACTATTATGTCCTCAAATAATGTTTAAAATATCGATGTCACTACAAATGAAATTTCTAGCTTCTGCTGAAAGTTCTTTTTATTCTGGGTCTTCTATATGCTTCAACATGAGAGTAGTACTTAAAAATATTATGAATATTTCTAGGAAGCAAAGACTGAGTTCCTACCTTTCCTTTTACTTCCATCTCCCCACTGTTTGAGTATGTGAGGGAAATAGACTATCTTTTGTATAGCAAAAGGCAGCCTACTCAGCTGAAGCTCTGGCCAGTGGAGCAGAGGCAACCTGTCCCTCCTGTCTTGACTCACTGATCTGTGAGCATAACACAATGGTTGCTGTTGTACCTTACTCATTCAGGCAAGTTTGTGAAAGAGCAATAGAAGATTAGAACAGCTTAAATGCTATTAAGAAAAAAGAGAGTAGTTTTTTTTTAAAATAATATAATAGTTTATTTTAGCATTTTGTGCCTTTTTCTATCTCACTTGTGAGACTAGTTTTAATTAGCTGGACAGCTTGCAAGTCATTGATACCAGTACTTAGGGATATAAGGCTAAAATTCAGGAAAGATGATCAATGTAGCGACATCATGTGCACCGACTAATTAAATAAAAGTAATTGAAAATGTGGAAGATGCACCTTCCAAGGAAGTTTGTGAACTGTAATTAGAAAATAGAGTCAAAGACACAAATGGGGACAGGAATGAGTAGAGGGGAAGAGGTGTGTCAGGGAGGGAAGTCAAGAAACAGGTCACTGAACAAATGGAACAGAGAAGAAGGAAAGGGAAAGGAACAAGTTTGGTGTGATTGGCACATGGGTTAAAACATATTAGCTATGTTTCTAAAGATGAGAAACCACTAAAATAAGATACGCTCTATGAAATATGATGATAAACTGGGAATTAAGTTTAATTTTTAGAACAATTATCTTAGTCTGTAAATTAACAGGTACTACTAAGATCTAGGTATGAAAATAAAATTATTTCCATTAAGGAATCAGAAATTTTACCTAGTTCTTCAAATTGTATTTAAACATGAAATTTTTATTTTTATTTCTTAGTTATTATTTTAACTATATTTATTTTATATGTTTTACATCATTGTTCATTTTTGTACAATATTTGCTTTCTCCTCTCAGGTGTAGTCCCCATGGAATTCCCACCACCAGCTCACTAATGTATATCACATCGTCCCTGGTGCTCTTCCCTCCCCTGTTTTGACACCTCCCCCTCCCTCTCCCCTGCAGAACGTCTCCAATTTATAGTTGCTTGCCAATTTTGTTTTATTTTAATTGTTATTGTTTTTCCCCGATCCCTTATTTGGTTCCCCTATATTCCTCCTGTGAGTGAAACCATCTGATATTTTTCTTTTTCCTTCTGACTTATTTCACTGAGCATAATTTCAGAATTCTAGCTCCACCCATATTGCTGTGGATGGCATGAGTTTAGTTTTTGATTGCTGAATAGTATGCCATTGTGTATATATACCACATCTTGATCTAATCATCTATTTTTTGGGCCTTTGGGTTGTTTAATATGAATTTTTTAAAAGAACCAGTAGGTGGAGCACATTTGCTCCAGAAAACCTAATTCTAAAGGGTAGTTGTGAAGGGGAGGAAAAAGAGACAGAAAGGGAGAGAAGGGATGAAAGAGATGAAGAATAGGATAGAAAAAGAGAAAATGAGAACAAGTGATTTGAGAGTTCTTCATTGAACATTGGTATTGTTGAAAATTATCAGAAGGCTAAATTATTACATATTTACAAGCACCATTCATTTGACTCTGGTATTCATATCTTATCAAATGGTGCATGTTTAATTTCTCTTTACTACAGAGAAATTCTGAAGCTGACAATTTATACAAACCCCAAAATGTTGGCTATCTAGAGCAAGGCTCTTCATCTTCATCCACAGTGTTCTGGGGCTGTGAGTTGCCTGAAATGAGCAATGTGCATTTTCTTAAAGTCCATAATGTTAAATTTCTCAAAGTTACATGATCATGAAAAAATTAAGGTTTGCTTCTAAACCAGGAGGGTGTCTCTACCTCATGGGTGCATGTGTTAGTTTGGTGAGAAAAAGTAAAACAAATTTTTCTCTTTTCAAAAGCTC